TTGGCCTCGTCCAGCTCGCGCTCGAGCCGGGCGACCTTCAGCAGCAGCGCCGAGCGGTCGTCGGCGGCCATGGCCGACGCGAGGCCTGATTCGAGGGTGTTTCCGGAAGCGGCACCGCCGAACTCCATCTCGCGCAGCGACTCCTCCAGAGCGGCGATGGTTTCCTGGTCGTGCAGCTTGTCGCGGTGCAGGCGCTGCCTCTCGTCCTCGAAGTTGTGCAGGCGCTCCATGGCCTGCGAAAGCTCGATAACAGCCATGTTGTGGCGGCTCTCGAGCTGGGCGTACTCGTCGCGGTAGTTGTCCATGGTGGGGCGGAGCTGGTTGACCTTGCGGAACTCGTCCTCGATTTGGCGCGAGCGGTCGTGCGCGTGGGCGAGCTGCTCCTCGAGGGCGCGCACCTGGCGGCGCAGGTCGGTACTCTCCTCGAGTTTTTTCTTGTACTTTTCAATGACGTGCTCCGATTTGGCCAGCCGGTCAGCAGCGTGCTTGAACTCTTGGAGCTGGTCGCGCAGGCGCACGACCTCATCCTTGGCGTCGCTGTTTTCGGCGAGGCGCCGGGCCATGTCGGCAAGGGACGCGGCCTGCTCCTTGTTGACGCGCTCGGCGTCCTGGGAGCGCATGTCCGCCTTTTCCAGGTCGTGTTTCAGGTTCTCGATCTCGGTGCGCAGCAGAAAGTCAGTGCGGCCGGACTTGTCCGCCCTGGCCATGGACTTTTCAAGGTCTTCCATGCGCATCTTGAGCTCCTCGTTGAGGACCAGCATCTCCTCGTACTTGTCCCGGACAACCTTGTGTTCGATGTTGAGGTCCTGGGCGGATCTCTCCAGCTCGTCCTTTTCGGCGTAAGACTTTAGCAGCTCGGCCTGCAGGCGAGAGACGGGGTCGACGCCATCGTTGTCGCGGTGGACATCCATCATGTCGACGTCCTGGGAGTCGAGCTCGGCGTCGGGCTCGGCACTCCCGAGCTGGGCAAGAACAGACTCGATGGAGACCATCAGACAACGCTGGTCGTCCTCTCCGAGCGACATGATTTTGCCTATGTAGACCTGGTTGCGCTCGCACTGGACGGCCAGAGTGAGGATCAGGTGGCAGAGCTTGAGCAGCTCCTCGGGGTCTTCGTTTTTGGCGATGGCGGAGAGGTTTGGCTCGTCCAGATTTGAGGCAGGGTAGCCGAGAACGTCCTCGTAGTACTGGGTGACGAGCTTGTACAGTTTTTTGAGATTGTTCATCTTCAGGACCCAGTTGTCACCGATATCGGCCGATCGTATGGATTTGAACCATTGGCGGTCACTACAGCATTGAATTGAGCAAGCGGGTGGGGGAAGCACATGTGAGAATATCAGGGGGGGTATGGTTTCGTCTTTGTTTGTTTGTTCATACAAATTCAAAAATGCCCAAACAAACAAGCGGAGAACATGGTTTGGCTTGGTTTGGCTGTGGGGCTTACATTTCTGCGCAAATTTCAAAGAGGGCGATTCCATCTGTCAGGTCGCTGAGTTGGGTGACGGGTTTGCTCAGGGCATTAAATGTGCCAACCTACAATTACAAATTTGCTTGGTTAATGGTTTTGGCATTGAGGATTTAGACTGCGGTGTTGCAGCGTTGCAGTGTTGCAGTGTTTCGTGATACGTACCCAGTGGACAAAGCCGTCGGCAATATCCTCTTGGCTCATATGAATTTAAGAGCGACGACGACGGCGGCAGCAGCGGCGTGTGGTGGTGAGTGTTGAATGTTGAGTGCGGTGGTTTGGAATTGAAAAAGACGAAAAGGCAAAATAAGGGAGGAGAGGTAAGTAAGGGTTGGCTGAGATTACAAAAAATAAATAACAAAAGAAAGGAATGCAGGGTGCAAAGAAAAGAAGAAAAAAAAAAAACAGAAAAAGAGTTTGAAATTTGAGAGCGGGTAAATTGCACGGCGCAGAAGAAAGAAAAAATGAATGAAATACTATCGAAACAGGGAGAGGAGCACAGCTTGAAAATTTGTTATTTTCTATTTTCTACAGCAGTAAAATGGCGGGGAGAGAGGGGTAAAAAAAAATCATTGCAGGCTGCTTGCTTGTTTTCACTTTCACCTTACTATCATTTATATTTTATATATTATATTATATCTATACTCGAAAATAAACAACGGCAAAATTCATACTTTCCCTTGGAAGTGACGGAAGCGCCTTCTTAATTTAGCTACCGCAAACCTCAAAAATTACTGCCAAACACTTGCATATAAACACACACATATATATAGGCAGGCTGTATGCTCGTCGCACATGGAATCTCAAGAGACAGACGTTCTGGCGCAGCAGCCAGGCAACTACCAGATCCGGGAGCGGTCGGCACAGGGGCTGTTTTCAGTGCGCGGGCTGGGGCAGCGCACGCATGTGGACCAGATGTACCTCAACGGGCTCAGCACGGTGGTGCCGTTCTGGATCAGCAACGACAGCGGGCGGCAGCTGGATGTTGTGGTTGACGTCACCAGCGGCGGTGCAGGGTCGATCTGGGTGCAGCAACAGAACGCAAACTGGAGCGCAGTATCGGCGCAGCAGCGGGCATCATACGTCTCGTGCGAGCTGGCGGACGGCACAGGTGAGCTGCGTGTGGTGTGCAGCCCGGCGGCGCAGCGCGAGTTCAGCGAGGTGCTGAACCTGATGCACGATGGGCAGCAGATGATGTTGGCGCTGGCGGCAGGCCAGACGGCCGAGGCTGTGCTGGTTCTGTGCGCAGCCGATGATGCGGGGGCGGCAGTGGGGGCAGCGGCAGCAGCCTCGGAGAGTGCCAGGGCCGACGAGGGGGCGCGTACGCACGGGTTCGTTGAATGCAGTGGGCTGGTGAGCGTGCGCGCGGCAGGCGATGGTCTCGAAGCGCACGTGCGCGGCAGCTTCTGCCAGTCGGTGCTGGAGATGGAGCCGGCCACGTCGCGGGTGTACCTGGACGACTGCGTGGTCGGGCGCGTGTACGAGCGCGTGTTGCAGGTGCGCAACGCGTCGGCGATTGCGCTTGAGTGGTCCGTGGCCGTGGTTGAGACGACGGACGCGGCGGCGCTGGGCACGGCGCTGCAGGTGCAGGGCCAGGGCCAGGGCCAGGGCCAGGGCCAGGGCCAGGGGGCTGACGGTGAAATGGCTTGGCCCGCCGTGCCCATTGGCGGCACTCTGGGCGCCGGCTGCTGCGTGCCGATCGTCGTGCGGTACACGCCGCAGGCCGTGGGCGAGTTCCTGTGCCGCTTTGCGTTTTTGAACGCCAACGACGCGCGCAGCACGCGGCACTGGGTGTTCCGCGCGCGCGCCAGCCAGCGCGCCACGCCCCGGCGCGTCGAGCTGCTAAGCGCCGGCGACATCGACTTTGGCGAGTGCACGAGCGGCGTATGGTACCGGCGCGACGTGTCGCTCAAGAACGTCGGCGACGCGCCGGTGACGGTGCGGTTCCGCGTCGAGGGCAACGTGGGCGGGCTGTCCGTGCGCGTGCGCGACGGGGCGGCTGCGGTTGAGGTTTCGGCGGGTGAGGCGTCGGCGGGCGAGGCATCGGCAGGTGAGGGCTCGACAGCGGCGGCCGGCGCGGCCGGGTCTGACGCCGACGCCGACGCCGACGAGTCTGCGTCGGCGGGCAGCGAGGCGGCCGGCAGCGGGCGGCGCGCTTCGGTGCAAACACAGGCCCAAAGCCAGGCGCCGAGCCAGGCGCAGAGCCACTCGGCCGCGCTGCTGGACGAGGTGTCGATCAAGCCTGGCGCGGTGCGCACGGTGGCGCTGTCGCTGATGGGCGGCGGCGCGGGCGGCGCGGCCGGGCAGTTCGTGCGGCAGTCGTTCACGCTGTTCTGCGAGTGCACAGCGGGCGGTGCGCAGGCCGAGCGGCTGTCGCTGCCGTGCGCCGTGGCCATGTGCACGCCGGTCGTGCGCGTGACGCCCGGCGTGCTGGACTTTGGCGCGGTCGACGTCGGCACGCTGCAGTCGCTGTACCTGACGGTCGAGAACCCGTCGCCGGTGGCCGCGACGGTCGTGTGCGCGGTGGACTCCAAGGTCATCAACTGCACGCGCGCGCCGATCGTCGTGGCGCCGCGCCAGAGCGTGCGCGTGCGCGTCGACATCTACCCGCGGCGCGTCAACGCGCGGTACCGCAAGCAGATCATCGTGCGCAACGTGCACAGCCGCGCCAACGACAGCGTCGTCGACGTGCGCAGCGAGCACGTCGACCAGCGGCGCATGGCGTTCCACAACGTGTTCTACCGCACGCTGGTCGACGGCTGCGAGCAGAACTTCGTCGACTTTGGCGCCGTGCCGCTGCGCGCGCGCGCCGTGCGCCGCATTGCGCTGGCCAACCTGTGCGCGTGCCCGGTGGCGCTGGAGCTGGCGCCCAGCGACGCGCGCAGCATCACCGCCTACACGCCTGTGCGGCTGGACGACGCGGCCGCCGCGCGCGCAGTTGCGCAGCGCCTGCCGCAGCTGGAGCGCCAGGCCGAGATGCACAGCACGCTGGAGCGCTTCCGCGAGCGCCAGCCGCCCAGGCAGGACGACGCCGACGAGGGCGCGCGCCGCCTGCACTCGCTGGCGCCCGACATGTTCGTCGACAAGGCCGTCGAGCGCCGCCACGTGTGCCTGGTGCCGTTTGCGCGTGCCGCTGCGCCCAAGTCGCCCGTCGGCTACCTCGACGCCGCCGTGGCACAGGGCCCCGTGGCGGCGCGCCCGCGGCCAGCCGCAGCAGCCGTGGTGCGCATCCGCGACGGGCTGCCGCCTGCTGCGGCGGGGCCTGCCCCCAAGCCAGGCTCCGCCGAGCCCTCCGTCGCCGCCACCATCGCGCGCGCGCACCGCATCCTTGACGAGATCACGCAGCACCTGGACATGGTGCCGCAGACGCTATTCGCGTCGGCCGGCGCCGAGGACGAGTACGTGCGGCGCCAGGTCGACCTGCGCAACTACGTCGGGCTGCTGGTCGAGGCCGGCTTCCTGCGGCCAGCCGCGCGGCTAACCCTGCCGGCGGCGGCCAAGGTGCCGGTGGTCGTCATGCTGTGCCCGGACGCGGCGCCCGACGACAGCGCGCTGCGGCTCGACGCCAACCTGTACTTCACGCTGGTCAACCGCCCGGCCAGCCTGCTGCCGTTCACCAGCGCGCGCGCGGCGGCGCCGCCGGCCGGCGCGATCGCCAGCCTGGGCTCATCGTACCAGCTGCCGGTGCGGCGCTTCCTGCTCCAGGCGTCGCTGCGGCGCTCGGAGCTGGAGATCGGCCAGAAGAGCATCAACGTCGGCAACATGCAGGTCGACGAGGCCTGCAGCAAGTACCTGGTGATCCAGAACCGCGCCGAGGACGCGCTGATGTACGCCATCCGCAAGACCGGGTCGATAGCGTCGGGCGACATCCGCTTCGTCGACAGCAACCGCTACGGCGTCGTGCGCGCCTTCGACAGCCGCAAGATCGGCTTTGTGTTCAGCCCGTCGCTGACCGGCGTCTACAACGAGCAGATCTCCATCGCCAACGTGGTCGACCCGCAGGGCGCGCGCACCGCGACGCTCAAGGCCGTGGTGCGCCGCCCCACAAAGTTCTACATCAAGACACTGGGGCTGCGCTTTGCACCGCAGCCGTGCGCCGAGCCCGGCCGCCGCAGCAGCGACCTGCAGCTGCTGGTCGTCAAGAACATGACCGCCAAGACGCGCCGCCTCGTCGTGCGCCCGCTGCTGCCCGACGAGCCTGGCGCGCTGGCCCGCCGCCAGGCTGCGGCTTTGTGCTGGACGCCGTGTTCCCGGCCGATGTGGCCGTTGCGCACGGCGCCGCGCCGCGGGTGCTGGACCGCGAGACCGAGGAGAAGATCGAGGCGCTGGAGCAGAAGGTCAAGATCGCCGAGCGCAAGAACCGCCCCGAGAAGGTCGACAAGTACCGCGCCAAGCTGGCGAAGCTGCGCGGCCCCGGCGCCGAGCCTGCGGCCGGTGCCGGGCCGGGCCGGGGCTGTGGCCGGCGCCAATGCCGCGCCCGCCGCCGGCCTCATCGAGCGGCTGGCCGGCGACTCGCGGCTGATCGTCACGCTGCCGCCCGACGGCGACGCGAGCATCCCGGTGGCCGTGGTGCCGCGCGCCGTCGGGCCCGCGCCTGCGCGCAGGCCTGGCGCCGGGCCGGTGAGCGGCCAGTTTGTCGTGCACGAGGAGAAGGACACGGACAACGCCAAGGTGGTGACGGTGACGGCCGAGCTGGTCGAAGAGGATTGCGCGGGCGATAGAATGGGCGATTGAGCAGGTGATTAAATAGGCGATTGGATAGGTGATGGATGTGACAACAGATTAATTAAAATAATAAATTAAGCCTAAAACCGAGAGCTGCTTTGGGATATCCACTGCCCCGGCAGCCTTCTGCTACCTCGGGCCCTCTCTCGCTCGCCCTCGCCCTCGCCCTCGCTCCCCCCCCGCTCCCTCTCGCCCTCACTGCGCCGCCTGCACCGCGCTCGCGTCCACAAACGTGATCCGCGTGCGCGTCAGGTTCACCTGCAGAACGTTGATGTCCTCGTACTGCGTGACGCAGCGGCTGAGGTCGGCCTCCGAGTAGCCGGCGTCGCGCACGCGGTCGAGCACGTCGCCGTACGCCAGCTGCAGCAGCTGCAGGCTGCCGCTGGCCACCGCGGCCGTGCGCGCCAGCCGCACCATCAGGGCGAAGATGGCCGACACCGCGTCCGCCCGCGCCGCGCCGCGCTCACCGAACAGCCCGTGCTGCCCGCCCGCCGGCTGCGCGTCCAGCGTCACGTGCGCCGCGTCCATCAGGCGCAGGCCCTCGTCGACGTCCTCGGTGGCCACGGCCACGGCGCCGCGCACGCGCGCGTGGGCCTGCGCCAGGCGCAGGATGGCCAGCAGCGTGCGCGGCGTGGTGTTGCCGATGTTGGAGCGTGCCGAGGCCGGGCCCGAGGCGCGGGGCCCGCCGCTGGGCCCGCCGCTCGCCCGCGCCTGCAGCCCCGCCTTGTACTGCTGCCGCAGCTGCACGTACGCGCCCACCACGTAGTCGGCCACTGCGCGCGGCAGCACCGGGTCGCGCGCGCGCGCGGCGGCCACAAAGTGGCGCAGCAGATCAACGCTGATCTCGCTGCCCTCGCGTGGCGGGTGGCGGCCGTGCGCGTGCACGTACGCCACGTGGCGCGCCAGCTGCAGGTCGTCGTCGTGGCTGGGGCGGTCCAGCATCAGGAACAGCACGTCGAAGCGGCTGAGCAGCGCGGCCGGCAGGTTGATGTTCTCCTCGGGCGTCATGCGCGGGTTGTAGCGGCTGCGCGCCGGGTTGGCGGCCGCCAGGATCGACGTGCGCGCGTTGAGCGTCGTCGTGATGCCGGCCTTGGAGATCGAGATCGTCTGCTGCTCCATGACCTCGTGGATGGCCGTGCGGTCGCCCTCGTCCATCTTGTCGAACTCGTCGATGGCGCAAATGCCGTTGTCGGCCAGCACCAGCGCGCCGCCCTCCAGCACCATCTCGCCGCTGACAGCATCGCGCATGACGGCCGCCGTCAGCCCCACGCCCGACGACCCGCGGCCCGTCGTGTACACGCCGCGCGGCGCCGCCTTGGCCACGAAGCGCAGCAGCTGCGACTTGGCCACGCCCGGGTCGCCCATAAGGCACACGTTGATGTCGCCGCGGATGGCCATGCCGTCGCGCGTGCGCTTGGCCGGCGCGCCCACCAGCAGCAGCAGCAGTGCCTTCTTGACGTCGTCGTGCCCGAAGATCTCGGGCGCCACGGCGCGCGCCACGCGGCCGTACGCGTCGGCGTCGCGGCTCAGCTCGGCCAGCTGCATGTACAGCTCGGGCGTCAGCTCGCGCGCCAGCTGGTCGTAGCGGCGCTTGAGCGGCCGCACGTCGTGCGCCTCGACCAGCGTGTCGGCGAGCAGCCCGGCGCGCAGCGCACGGAAGCCCGTGTACGGCTGCGGCAGGAAGACACCGGCAATGTGCGCAACGTCGCCGGGGTTGAGCCGGCGCACGGCGCCCTCGTAGCAGTGCACCGTCAGCGTGCGCGGGATGTCGCCCATCGGCACCTGGTCGGTCATCTCCTGCACCTTGACCTCCTGGAACCGCAGGAACCGCGACCCGCGCGTCTGCCGGTGCAGCTTGCCGCGCGAGCGGTTGGCCGCGCACCGCGCACTCTGGCACTGCGCCAGCGGCGTGAACTGCCGCGTCTTGACCTCCTGGAACACTCGCACCCGCATGCGTCGCACAGGTACGCTGCCACCACCATCGCCGGCCGCACGTCCGACACGCGCGTCACGATGCCGCGCACCGTCACCAGCTGCCCGATCTGCCGCGCGCCGACGTCACGCACCGCCAGCACCGGCGCTGCCACGCGCGCCACGAACCGCACCGTGTACCGCCGCGTCAGCACCGCCGGGAACGACTCGGCTGCACCGGTGCCGCCGCCCTGCTCGCTGCCTGCGCCCGCTGCTAGCGCCTCGCGGTCGCGCCTGTCGCGGTCGCGCCGCGCTTGGAAGATCACGTCCAGTACGTCGGCGTCCGCGTCCTGCATGGCGCTGGTGGCCGCCTCGGGCATCAGCGCATCGATCGCGCGGCTAAACAGCTCCACGTAGCACTTGGCGTTGTGCTCGATGCGAAATGCCAGCGACGACGCAAACGTGAATGCCGGGTGTGCCCCGCTGCTCTGCACCTCGAACGCCCGCACGTCGTCCAGCCGGATTGCCACTGCGTCCGCTGCGCGGTCCGCCACCAGCTGCAGTGCGTCCATGTACGTGTGCCTGGGCTCTGCTGGCTCAAGCTCCGTGTCCATCTCTGCATCCATCTTCTTTGCGCCGGCGTCGACAAACTTTTCGAGGAACTGTGAGATCTTGCCCACCTCGCTGTCGTAGTCGACGACTGACCGGATAGCCGACAATGCGCTCATGCTTGTGACTGACTGTCTTTAATGTAATCCTTGTTGTGGGATAGATATACCGCCTGCTTGGTGCTTGGCTGCTTGGCTGCTTGCTTGGCTGCTTGCTCGCTTGGTTGCTTGGTTGCTTGCTCGCTTGGTTGCTTGCTGTTGAAAGGCGCTGGCTGAATATCGGCTTTCGAATATTGCAATTATTGTCACCACAAACGCAATGCACTGAATTAAGGAATCGAAAAATGAAAGAACAAGAAACTAGAAAAAAGACAAAGTAAAAAAAACAATTAAGGTGGGAGGGAAGAGAAAACGGTTGAAACAGCTAAAGAAAAAAGTGTTATTATTGTTGTTTACCATCCATCCACTCATGCACAAGAAAAACTCTCGCGTTTACTCCAAGCCTTGTTTTATTTTTCTGTTTACGATAAAAAATTTTAAAGCATGTATGCGTGTTCAACTGCCCGCCTTCGAAACACTGCAAAATGCCAATACTAAAATTAAAAAGTGACTCGCATCACCATATATATTTACCATATAATATTAACGCAAACCCCGCGCACTCCATCAGTGGCCCTGTATGCGCAGCGCCAGCCCCGCCCGGCCCAGCCACTCGCGCCCGACCTGCCGCACAAAGCTTGCCACGTCGAGCGGATTCGACGACGCGCCCACCGGGTACGCGACCGACGGCCAGTTCTCGGTGTACAGATCCGAACGCACCTCAAACGCGCCCAACCGCCCGCTGCTTTCCTGACACCGCTGCCAGAGCTGCGGCAGCTGCTGCGAGATCGTGGCTGCGCCCAGCAGCCGGCAGCTCCACTGATCGTATGCATCCATCTCGCTAAAGTACTGCGACGCGTCGCCAACCGCTTTGCTGACGCCGTCAGCGTCCTGCGCCTCCCGTGCCAGCTCGAACGATATCGACGTCAGCTGGTAGTACACGCACGCCGAGATCATCGCCGCGCACCCGCGAATAATGAGGAAATTTTGGCTGTCGCACTTCTTGTACACGTACTCGCAGATGTTCCGCATCGTCAGTAGGTTCTTGAGCGTGTCCGCCGACGAGGTGAACGCCCGCCGGATCCAAAAGTCCTCCATGCCGCATGTCAGGGCCTCGAGGTAGTACACGACCTCCAGCGCCACCTTGCCCCCGACCGTCCGCTCAGCATCGCCAATGTGCTTGAGCAGCCGCATGCTGTCTTCGAGCTGCCGCGACTGCTTCCGCAAGCTGTCGATCTGCGACGTCGACAGCCCTGCCGTAATGTTGCTAAATCTGCTGGCTGCCAGCATCGGCATAGGCATAGGCATAGGCATCGGCATCGGCATCGGCATCGGCATCGGCATCGACGCCGACACTGGTGGCAGATGTTGTGCTGTTATCGACGTGGGCGTAGCTAAAGACTGCAGCACCCCTTGCTGCGACTGCGACTGCGACTGCGACTGCGACTGGGACTGCGATTGCCGCAAAACCGACCGCGATCTGGATCGTGACGGTGAGGGCCGCGCCGCACGAGGCTCGCGCTCCAGCATGCCCTTCGCTCTGCTCCTGTCGTCACGACTCGACCGTCTCTCCACTTCCCGAGCTGGCGGAGACCGTGCCTGCACTGGGAGCGTGGTTGGAGACACTGGGCGAGGCTCAGGTGATGGCAGAGCTTCTACTGCTGTTGCTAGCCGCCGCAGCTCCCTGCTGTTTACTGAGGCAGCAGACTTGCGAGCTAACTTTGCCTTCTGGGTGCTTGCCGACTCCTCCCCATCGACCACAATCCCTGCTTCGTCTGCCCTCCGCTTGGGCGAAGACCCAGTGGGAGTGACATCGGCATCACTGACCCGGGACTTCTTTGGAATCCGGATCTGGAAAATGACACTTGACGATGGCCTCTTCCTAGACTGCTCAAAGTCGGCCCTGGACTCTCCTTTAAGCACCGTAGGATCGTGCCCTCCGTCGCTGTCGCTTGCATAACTTTTTTTGGCGTCGCCAGCCAACTCGTATTTCCTGCTGCGTCGGTCGTCCGCGCCAGAAACAGAAATGTTAACATTGCTCTTGGTGGCGAGACCACGGCTCAGCCTGCTGCCTTCCTGGGCTTCGCCGCCCGCAGCTGCGGCAGCATCACTGACCCTTCTTCTAAACACCGCCTCGGCCCTGCTCCTGGGTGCTGGCTCAGCCTTTGTCCTTGGCGCTGGATCAGCCTTTGTCCTCGATGATGGTTCGACCTTGCCCCTGGGTTCCAAATCGGCCCTGCTCCTAGGTGCTAGTTCGGCCCTGCTCCTGGCTACTGGTTCGGCCCTGCTCTTGGCTGCCGGCACTGCCGCAGCCTCAGTCTTGCTCCTAGCTGTTGCTGCTGCCGTCACCTCAGAATTGCTAATGGCATCCGCCTCAACCCTCCTCATGGTCGCTGCCTCAGCCTTTCTCTTGGTCACAGCTTCTGCCTCGGCCTTGACTACCGCCGACGCCGCTGCTGCCTCCGCCTTGACTCTAGCAGCTGCTTCAAACCTCCTCTTGGCTACTGCACCAGCCTTTCTTTTAACTGCAGCCTCAGCCTCGGCATCTGCTTCGGCCTTTGCCTTAGCTCTGGTAGCTGCCTTTGCCTTTTGCTCTGCCGCTGCCTCTGCTGCCGCCTTGGCCTTCGTCGCTGCCACCGCTTCGGCCTTTGCTTTGGCTCTTTGCTGCTTGCGCTGCTCTGCGCGTGCCCTCATCTTGGTCAGGGCCGAGTAGCGTGCCATCAGTATCTCAACGTCTGGAAGCACGAGTTTCTGATTATCGGCCAACGAGCAGTCCCAGCCGTTGGCGCGGCTCTGGGACTGCGGCATGACTACAGTCTTTTGATAATTATAAATAGGCACTGGCTCTGCTGACGATGCTGTTGTTGTTGCTGTCGCTAGCGATGATAGTGGTGGTGCAAGGGTGCTGGTGGCGCGCACTGTATGTGGCGCTACCGATGGGCTCTTTTCTATGTAGCTCAGCAGGTGGTCGAGGGTGGACTCGCTATCGAGCTGCCCGCTATGAGGAATGTGTGCAGCGGCCGATGATGCTGCACTACCACCGCTTACTACTGCTACATTTGCTGCAGCTACTGCGTGGGGTGGCAGCCGACCTCCACGAGAAATATCGTGTGCGCTCTTCACCGCCCGTAGCGTCTGCTGCTGAGGCTGTGATGAGCTGCTGTGCGCAGGCGAAACGTCGAGATTGACATGGGCCCTTCCCGCGGACCCTGATGTAACCCTATTGGACTGATGCTGTTGCTGCTGCTGGGTGTTGCTGCTGCCGCTAAAGTTCGCCTTGTGCAGGCCCAAAAACGTATATCCTTCCGTTATTTTGCACTCTGGATCCTGTCCATAATGCTGCCTAAATCTGTCCATGCCAGCGGCAAAAGCAGGGCTATTCAAAAAGCCAAAGTGTCTGGAGCCGGGTGCCATGCCCGTAGTGGGCGTCTTCGATGAAGGTGCAGAAGGAACTGCGTCTGTTGTAGGGCTGTTCATTGCAATGTTGACAACGCCAAAGAATAAAAGAATATGAGCAAAATTCTTGAAAAAGAAAAAGAAAAAACCAACTTGATATAGGACTGCCGGCCAAGTGGGCTGGTGTGAGGTGTGAGAGTGTGTCCTGTAGATGCTGCAGCTTAGATAATAAGTATAAGTATGCAGTGTGCGAGACCAAATGTGCGAATTGTAAATAGAAATAAATAGATTGTGCTAGTTTCAAAAGCTTAGAGTTGACAGCCCGTGTTTAAAGTCTGCGCAGTTGATGGCGGGTGGATGAGTGGATGGTATTAAAGAAGTGAGAGAGGGGTTATAACTATGTTAAGAGTAATGTGGGTGGAGAAGAGCGAGAAGTAAAGAAAGTATGCAAAGTATATAAAGCGAGTGCTTTCACCTGTGACGCTATGCCAAAAAGAAAATTTATGAAACACACAAAGAAAAGAGAAAAGGAAGACCAACATTCCCCCTTTAAGCCGAGATGTACTTGGCAGCGCGGCAATAATGAGTGGCGCAACGCAAAAAAAACGCACACATATGGGCGTGAAGCGCTCCTGATCTTCACTGATGAAAACAATAAGCTGGGTCACACATGTGCTCGTATATAGCTTGTTGAGTTACAAGCCCCATCCAAGACTAACTGACATGCTGCTCACAAGGTGACATGTCATTGTGATCCTATGCGAACATACAACATTTCCCGCGTTCCGATGCACAGATTAACCCATTCCACATTAAAAGGAAGGGGAAGGTGGGGAGGATCTGGTATTTGGATTTGGTATTTGGTATTTGGATTTGATATTGGCATCCGATGCCTAAGATGTCTCGACGCAATAGGCGCCCATTGCGTTCCAGGTTCAAACACAGGCCCCACTCTCTCGTCTGAGAATTAAAACAACAAAACAAAATTATCAAATTTTCTTATACATCCAAAACTTAACGGAAAAAACTCGATTTTATTTTCCTGTCCAAACGTGTTAAAAAACACAGACAGACTATGCACAACAGGGCACACGCGCACTCAATTTAGAAGAGGGAGGCAATGTTTCCGGGCATCTCGTCGATCTGGGTGTTGTAGTACTGCTCAATCTCCTGCATGACGGGAACATCCTCAGCCGTGACAAAGTTGATCGCGATACCCTTGCGACCGAAACGACCACCACGACCGATGCGGTGGATGTAGTTCTCGCGGTTGGTGGGCAGATCGTAATTGATAACAAGCGACACCTGCTGCACGTCAATACCACGGGCAAGCAGATCGGTGGTGATCAGAATGCGCGAGGAGCCCGAGCGGAACTCCTTCATGATGGTTTCGCGCTGGCCCTGCTCCATGTCACCGTGCATGGCCGAGACAGTGAAGGCGGCCTGGCGCAGCTTCTCGGTCAGGAAGTCAACCTTTCTGCGGGTGTTGCAGAAAATGACGGCCTGCGTGATGCTGACAGTCTCGTACAGATCGGCAAGGGTGTCGTACTTGAAATCCTCGCGCTCGACCGAGATGTAGAACTGCTTGATACCCTCAAGGGTCAGCTCATCGCGCTTGACCAGGATACGGACGGGATCGCGCATGAACTGCGTGGTGACCTCAAGAACTTCCTGGGGCATGGTGGCGCTGAGCAGCACAACTTGGACCTCAGTGGGAAGCTTCAGGAAGACGTTGTGGATCTGGTCCTTGAAACCACGCGACAGCATCTCGTCAGCCTCATCGAGGGCAAAGATCCGGATCGACGAGGGGTCGAAGATCTCGCGGTTCATCATGTCGAACACGCGGCCTGGGGTGCCGACAACAATGTGGGCACCTTCGCTGAAAGCCTTCTGGTCATCGGAAATGCGGGTTCCACCGATGCAAGGGTGGACTTTGACCTTGCGGAACTCACCGAGGTTCTCCATAACCATCTTGATCTGCTGAGCCAGCTCGCGAGTGGGGGCCAGGACAAGGGCCTGGGTCTTGGGGATGCTGACGTCAATCTTCTGCAGATCGAGATCGAGAAGGTGGCGGTCTTACCGGTACCCGACTGGGCCTGGGCAATAACATCGTGGCCCTTGAGAACGGGGACAATGGCGCGCTGCTGAATGGCAGAGGGGCGCTCAAAACCGTAGGCGTAGATACCGCGCAGCAGGTTGTCGTCCAGGTTCATGTCATCAAGTTGTCAACAACCTCGTTGAAGGTAGTCTCGATATCCTTATCATTGATCTCGGTGAAAGTGCTACAGAGATATGCAGATTAATGCGTGCATTGTGCAAAGAAAGCGCGGCAATGAGGAGTATTAGCAAGCGAGTACAATAAGTAAAATAGTGCTGGGTAGACAAAGAAACGCGTGCTTAGCCGCCGTATAAAACACAGTAGTGGCGTGCAAAGTAAAAGCATACACACACTGCAAAAAATAGGCTTTGATAGCAAAGGAGAATCGCAGAAGTAGCAAAAAGCGGTACTGGAAGAGCCATTGCTGTAGCGAAAAATACGCTGGGTGTCGGGCTAAGAAAAGACGGCAAAAAAGAATAGCAAGTGTCGGTAATTACAAGCGAGAAGCGCTGCCACAACAGCTCGCCACTGTGGCACCCGGCTGCGCTTGCTGCTCGCACACATGTTTACAAGATATCAAAAACAAATAAACAAGCGAGCGCAACGACGGAGATAGGCCGCATTGCACTGCACTATACACTACACTGTAGAGCGTAGCTGTTCTGTGGCACCATGCTCACAAACGGCTGTGATCAAGGTCCAAAAAAACACACCACACGCACACACACATAGCGCAAGCGAGCGAGAGAAATGGGTGGATAAAGGAATACTTACTCGGCCATTTTCGGATTCAAACTTGGATTTTTTACTCTTTTAAGTATACGCTGGAGCTGGATTCAGACGGCTGATTGCAAATTTCGTTACCTCGGTTAAAAACAGAGAATAAAATACGAAATTGGAGAAACGAAGTGTTTAATAAACGACTAATAATAAAGAGTTTCGGTTTAGAAAAGAAAGAAGAGAGCGGAGCCGGTGAAAGCTTGAACCCTCTATCTACTACTCTCTCCGTTCGGCTGACTGCCCTCTTTCAAAGCGCTGCCATTTTGGTGCCTGCTGCCTGTTTATGCCTGTTTATGTCTGCCGTTTACAATGGATGTAGTTTGATGCCCGTGCCTTCTTTTGCCAATGGCGAGTGACTTTTGCGCAAAGCCAGGCTATGTTGTGCAAAATCCACACGCCAAACTCATCCGCCTCTGCACTAGACATTGGAATTGGCCTGCATCTCTGCCCCAACAAAAAAATCCAAGCACAAAGCTGCAACAATGTGCTGCTCCCCTCCCCCACACGCATGCTTGCACGCATGCCCTCCCTCCCCAGCAAAAAAAATAAAAATAAAAATTTTCTTTGCCAATTCAATCTCGCTGATCTTTCTGATCGCTGATTACCGATCATGTGATGCTGAACAGCGCGAGGCCAGCTCGTGCGGCGGCATTTCCTCAATCCTGTGCCGCGACTGCGCAACAGCAAGCAGCGCCGCTGTGATGTGCACACAGGGAACTGCTGCGCCCTACAACACAGTAACAACACAACAAGCAGTGTTTAACAGGCATAATAGAATATATAGATGTGTGTCTACATGGTCTGCAGTCTAGAAATTCCAATGCCTAAACGAAAAGATATCCTTGTAATCTTACCATCTGGTAGCAACCGCTGCCTCTGAAACCCTGCGCCTCTGATGTCGAGCACACGCTGCAGAAGCGGCCCGGAAGAACGCAAAAGCACATGTCTTGTTCTGATAAGTCGGACCGACAAACTCTGAACAGGCTGCGCATGTCGCTGACCAGACAGGTGACGCCGCGGTCAACCAGCTGCATTGCCGACTGGGTATGCGCTTGCCCTAGCAAAATGTACACGTCCTCTAAACCAGCCACTGACCACTCTGAAAACCCGGCAGCAGCGCTCGTTGAACGTAATGCTGGTCGCTGTGGCTGCCATTTTGGTACATGTCCTTTACAATTTGCAAGAGATGCTGGTGCACAAACTCCATGCTTGTGGTTACAATGCGAATAGCAAAAAAAATAGTTGGAAAGCGGAGTAATACATGCACATTACAACGACTTTGGATAAACGGGCCAGCTGACATATGCGTGTGTAGCCATGGTGACATAAATATGTAACTATGGGCGTTGCACATTTTCTCGCTGCGCCGCAGTCGCCGTTTATTTTGTTTTTTCTTTTCGACAGGTGCCAGATAACGTTGCGATTGCAACATTTTGTGCTCCATATGCATTTGACAAATAGTTTGCTTACTTTTTATATCCGCTAATTGTATATCAAACAGTGGAAGGATTGAAATCGGTTGTATTCAGACGCCTTGCCCGCCACCGATGTGATGAGTGGTGTCGACAAGTTAATACATGTATATATTTTGATTATCACGTTAGCACAAGTCGCTCAATTCTGATATAAAGCAAATTCAAACAAGGGAACAAAGATGGCAGCCGCAACATTGAAAAATGGTGGCTGCAAACTTGAGTCTTGTTGGCAGTAAAATGCAGTAGATATAAGCCAAACAGCACACACCCAAGTATCTATAATTTGGAGCATACCTATAGCTTTGGGCATTGTTTACTTGCGCTTGGAAAGTACTGTTTACTTGCATTCCAACTCGAATATAAAAGTCACTTTTCGGCGTGCAATTTGAATATCATTATTTTGTACGAGATTCATCAATACTTTTTTTGCCAATTTTTTGTTAGTCAACAGGGCACATAGCTTGCAATTGTCCGTGCATGGCGAATAGTATGCAAACACCGAGCGTCAACCATAACCCACCAATACGAACGAGATAGACGTCAGCCCCAATCAAAATACGCCCATGGTTACTAATAACAGCCATGCCCTTGAATCCTTGTTGGCTGCAGACCGTCAGGACAAAAAATATGGTGGCATTCTTGAAAACATGCTAGAGATGTTTAAGCGGCCTGACCCCAGCAACGCGCCTAAGAACCCGTCCACTTGCTTAAGCTGACACCTCGGCAGGCATACACATTCTCCGTGGCGTTTCTCGGGTGGATGGTCGACGCCATTGACTTTTTCTGTGTGGCCATGACCACCACAGAGCTGGCCACGAGCTTTGGCAAAAAACCATCCGACATCACATCGGCAATTACAGTGACCCTTATGTTGCGCCCAATCGGAGCGCTTGTATTCGGCGTTATTGCTGACAGGTATGGCCGGCGCATCCCATTGATGGTAAATCTGTTTTTGTTACAGTGATAGAGCTCGCATCAGGATTTTCGCAAAACCTTCCGACATTCATTGGTCTGCGCGCCATATATGGCATCCTGATGGGTGGGGAGTGGGGCCTGGGAAACTCGCTGGCAATGGAGACACTTCCGGTTAAAAGTCGAGGCATATTTTCAGGCATACTCCAGCAGGGCTATGCTGTGGGCAGCCTCGTGGCTGCAATGTTTTACTTTGCAATTGTCCCGAGCCTTGGCTGGCGGGCATATACTGGATCTCAACCATACCTGCCTTTATCACAATTGCCTTGACATATTTCCTCAAAGAGACTGACGTGTGGAAGCAAGACCGCCAGGTGCAAAAAGACAGTTCAAAGCACTACTACCAGATTGCCATTGCCATGCTGAAGAGGCACTGGTTGCGCTGTATATACGCGACTGTCCTCATGGCTGCAATGAACTTTCTTTCGCACGGCAGCCAGGACCTGTACCCAACATTTCTCAAAAAGCAGCACGGATTCACACCCAAGCAGGCAACTATTGGCACGGTTGTTGGCAACATTGGCGCTATTGTCGGTGGCATGTTCTTTGGATACACATCGGAATACCTGGGCCGCCGCAGAACCATTGCCATTTGTGCGCTTTGTGGCATATGCTTTATCCCGTTGTGGATACTGCCAAGCAAGTTTGGCCAATTGCTGGTCGGTGCCTTTTTTATGCAGCTTTGTGTCCAGGGCGCCTGGGGCGTCATCCCCGTATATCTCAGCGAAATCTCGCCCGAGGGATTCCGCGCAACATTCCCTGGCTTGGCGTACCAACTGGGGAACCTGATATCGGCCAGCGCAAGCCAAATGGAGGCAACTCTGGGCGAAAAGAACCCACTTCCAGAGCTGCGCGACGGCGAAGAGGTTCCAAACTACGGTCGCATTCAGGGCATCCTAATCGGAGTCATTTTCTGTTGTGTGCTGGTGCTGGTTGTTGTTGGGCGTGAGGAGTGTGGGAAGCATTTTGGCCAGTTTGAAAAGACTAAAGACGACAACGACGACAAACTGGGCCAAGTGTTTATGTTGCGTAGGTGGCAAGCGTGCCGATCGCAAGACCAATGTAGTAACTACAACAAAACATGGTGCAGCATTACTCGCACAACTTTTACAACAATATAAAATAATTCCATCTGATCTGATATGAAATTCATCAAAGCAAAACATATTTTCGGTTCGACTCGCATTTGATGGTTATGCTATGCTGAGTCGTGGCGGTCAATCCTGCTGGGTGCATCTTTCATAATCCGCCGCGTGCGACAAAGAAAAGACATTTTTTTTATAATTTCACATCCTCTCTGCTTTTACGTTTTGCTTCTTTATTTTTTTCCATTCAATATTTGCGATTGCATTGACTTTCTTTTCCTCTTACTTTATAGCATTTTCTCTACAGGGTAAGCGCGCGAACACCAATTTAACCTAACTATCATAACACGCACATCAAACGCGCTCATTTATAAGAAGGATTCGACGTGTTCGACAAGCTTCACCACAAGTAGACATTGCTTGCTCGCATTCCACTCCAATTTTAAAGAGGCATTGCGATGGGTACGGCTGGAAATATGCAAATATATAAACAACACACATACAAGCTCTTCATTTTATTTACTGGAGTCTTCGTTGTCCTGAATTAAGCATTTTTATTATTATTTATTTGTACAACTCTTGAATGCTAATCGATTATTTATTCAATTTGCATCATCCGACCTTTTTGTTTTCAAAGTAGAGTCTCAATCGGTTTCTCTAGGCTCTCCAACTAATTGCGACACGAGCGAACTTGTATTCAACATCACCTCCGCATTAACCGCCAAAAATATTGACGATTGCACTCAGCGTGTTAACAGGCAAGTACAATTTCCCTCCATTGCACAAAAAAAGCCCGCTAATTTTTTTGTGCAATGTCACAATCACAATAATGCACTTTCTCGTGCACCTCTTTTTTGTCTGCGACAAATTGACTAATCGCTGTTGAGCAACACCCCAATCTATCCGTCTTATTACTTTGAAATAGTTAATTCGCCAGCAAGGCCCACAATACTTTCTAGCTTTTTACGCAGCCTTTTTCTTGTGCACGGTATACTCAACAACCAGCAACAAAGCAGCTGGTAACCGCAGATCCTATCATTGTCGAGGCAGCTATTCAGGGCATTCTAGCTTCAGCTTGCGACAGAACCACATCAGTGTGCCTAATCGTACAGGCACTAGTTATTACATCGGAAGACCAAATATCAAGGCCAGTTATCGCGCCCTATTGGAAATTATCGACAAGCATTCAGTCGAACGCGCGCTCTCATTTACACAAGACAATTATTGGACATCATTAGCAGTTTTACTCGCGCTCTCCGACTCCTCATCCTCTGAACTATCTCGCCAGGCCCAGTTGTTTTTACCATCATATCTGGCGCGCATTTCTGAAGAGACGACCAAGCTAGGAATTCCACCGAGGACACGCTCCCACACATATCAGATATCGTGCCACACATCGGTGTGCGCCTTTCAGGACCAGACAACACAAACACATCTCGTACGAAAATGGGACTTGCCGAGCAGATTTTGCACGCAGGGCCTCATGCCCTGTCGCCGATATCATTTCGGGAATGATTCAACAAATGCAAAGAGACAGAACAGCAGCAGTGACGCCACCAATAGCACTTTGACTGTCGAGGAAGTGGCCAAGGCCATCGCCTCGATCGCTTCGCAGGCCGGGCAGGACAGCGCATGGAGCGCCAAGGACTTTGCCCAGGGAGTCAACCGCTTTTACCCAAACATCGGTTGGGAGGACGTAATCTACAGGGTGCCGTACTCGGACCTTGGAGCCCAGCAGGAGTCAGGCGCATTATTTATAGTTAACGTATTTCTCGCCGCCACTGCCGGGCAAAACCGCCCATTCCCATTCTCGTTTATGTACGAGATCTGGCCTGACCCCCAGGCGCAGGTCTCCTTCTTGCGCCACGCCTTGCGTGCGGCGGCGCTTGCACCTCATCTTCTCGATAAACACATGCCCGCAGTTATATCCGATCCCTCGAGACTCTATACCAGGTCCACCACGCAGAGTTTACCCGCATAGTCGCGTCACCATGGAACTCGCTGTCGCTAATCCTGATAATCTCGCACCTGCTCGACGGCAAGGCCGGCGAGGACGCGCGGGCGTTGCTCGATTACGGTATGTCCCAAGAGCCCGTGCTTATCACGCTGGGACTGGCCCGGCTCAAGGTGCAGCACCCGCGCCTGCAGGCACTGCTGCAGCACAGCGTCGCGCGCTTCCTCAAGCGTGAGCTCGCGCACAGTGCGCTTTTTTTCGAGCTCTTCCGCATTTTTGAGAAGAAGGTGATGATAGCGTTTTTCTGTAATCTGCAGCGCAAGGACGCGTCATACGCACGGCCCATTCTGGGCGTGGTGCTCGAGCTGGGTGTGCTTAACGAGATGCTTCTAATGCCCAAGCGCGAGGACATTGTGATGCTTGACTTTGTTGTCGAACTGGCCGTGTTTGCCTCGCGGCGTGGGTACCTGGCATTCGAATCCTGGTTCCCAGGGCTGCTGGCAGAGCTGGGCAACGACATGCTGCACGCGTCACTGGAGATTTTGCACGCCAAATTGCAGCTCGAGGCAGCGCGGCAGCGCGGAGAGGACACCGGGCTCGCAGCGTACTCGTCTGGTGAGCTGACCATCATGTTCAAGGCGCTTGGCAGCACGACTATGTCGCCCAACAACGCAGCCAACCTCAAGGCGCTGTACGCGCAGTTCCTGGAGCTGGCCAGCGAGCTGGAGCGCACTGAGAACGAGCACGGGACCGATGAGGGCCGCATCGAGAAGGAGGCTGAAAGCCTGTTTCTGCGGCTTTACCGTGGCGAACTGTCGGTGGACCGGATGGTCGACGTACTCGAGGACCTGCACGACTCGCTGCGGCTGCAGATGCGCAAGACCTATGCACACGTCATCCAGTACCCGCTCGAAGAGTTTGCGTTTTTCGACAACTACCCGGACAAGGAGTTGTCGATTACGGGTCAGCTGGTCGGCACACTGATCCAGCGGCACATGCTGTCGCCGTCCAGCGAGCCAGCAATTCTGGACATGCTGGTTAGAGCGCTCCAGGCGGCGCCGACGTCAAAGTCGTTCCACTTTGGCATGACAGCGCTGCAGGCGTGCCAGGCCAGGATCGAACAGCTGCCTGTATTTTGCACGGCGATCTCCCAGATCCCGGCGTTCCGCCAGAGCGGCAGCTCGCCAGTGGTCCGGCTGGTGCAGTCCATTGTCGGCAGTGCGCTGCCTCAGCGCAGCGGCAAGCCGGGCTCTGGCGCTGGCTCTGGTGTCGGTGCGCTAGACCGTGCGGGCATGGCCACGCCCTTGCCGGCATCAGCGTTGACATTAGCGGCGGTACGCACTCGCAAGACACCTCGCCTGCCGTGGCCTCTGCGGGGCCTCTGTTCCGCAGCGTCAGGCCGCCGCCACTTCCCGCTCTCGACATGCTGTTTGCAGAGCCGTCCGAGGAGGCCAAGGACAAGATTCAGTTTGCGGTCAACAACCTGGCGGCCAACACCTCGTCGAAAAGACTGCCGAGGTGGACAAGTGCTGCTCCCGCAGCACTTTGTGTGGTTCAGCCAGGATATTGTCGTTAAGCGTGCCAGCCAGGAGCCCAACTACCACGCGCTGTACCTGCAGTTCATCGATGCGCTCACAGGCCGCTACTGACTAAGTGCATTTTGCGCGAGACGCTGGTGAGCATTGGGCGACTCCTCAATTCTGAATCGACGATCAGCAGCTCGCGCGACCGCGGCGACCTGAAGAATCTGGGCGCGTGGCTTGGCGGTATGACACTGGCTCGGAACCAGCCAATCCTGCGCGAGCACGTGTCGTTCAAGGAGCTTTTGTGCGAGGGCTACGACAGCAGCCGGCTGATTGTGGCAATCCCGTTCGTTTGCAAGGTTGTCGAGCAGGCGGCGCGCTCGACGATCTTCCACCCGCCTAACCCGTGGCTAATGAGCATCATGCGCGTCCTGTCAGAGTTGTATGTCACAGCCAATCTCAAGCTCAACTTGACGTTTGAGATCGAGGTTCTTTGCAAGGCGCTGAATCTGGACGTCAAAGAGATTGAGCCATCGTCTGTTCTGGCTAGTCGCGCAGCGGCTGCGGCCCGGCGCCGTGACATGGATGCCCTGGGTGCCGAGCTGGCACACGCGTCAATTAGAGGCGGCAGTGCGACTAGGATTGGCGACAGCACCGGGTATGCGGCAAGCGCAGCGCAGATGCAAATTCAGATGCAGATGCCGGTTCTGAGTGGCAGCGACATTTCAGTGGACATTCTGGGAGTGCTGACGCAGCACGCTTCGTTGCAGGCGGCCGAGCCGCTGTTTGTGCAGCAGCCAACGATCAAGAAGATGTTCTACATGCTGACGGAGCGCATGATTCGTGAGATCATTCCGATCCACGTCGCGCGGTCGATCTTTGTGCGGTGAGCTGCACGCGCGATACCATCCAGAAGGACTTTTGTGGCGAGCCCAACGAGGAGAACGTGCACCGCGCGGCGCAGGTTATGGCGCGCGGGCTGGCGGGGGCGCTGGCCGTCAGCCTGTGCCGCGAACAGCTGAAGAGCAAGCTGTACCAGACAACTGCGAGCTGCTGATTGGCCACTCGGTACCCGAAAAGTCGGCCAACACGATTGCCGTGGGGCTGGTAGCCGACAACCTTGACCTGGCGTGCGCTATTGCGGAGAAGGAGTCGATTGAGCGTGCGTCAATGCAGATCGAAGCGATCCTCAGTGAGTCGATCGTCTCGCGCAGGCGCACGCGCGAGCGTACAGGGCAGCCGTTTTACGACATGGCGCAGTTCAGTCGGCTGGTGTACCCGCAGGATTTCCCCGACGTGCTGAAGGTGCGGCTCAACGGGCTGCAGCCGGGACATTTGCGCATATACGAGGACTTTACGCAGATACCGCACTTTTTCAGCCAGATCGGCAGCGCAGCCGCAGCGCCAGGGATGGCACCCGTTGCCGCCGCTGCCGGAGACGCTGCACTTACGCAGGCAGACTTTGGCGGTACGGCGGCGACCGGCGACGATGCGGCCAAGTTCAGCGCAGCGCAGTGCTTCGAGCGGTTTATCTCGATCATCGGCGACCTGGACAATGTCGTCTCCGCGGCCGGCCCCAACATATCGCTCTCGCAGCTGCCGTCGCAGCATGACGCGTGCCTCTACGCGCGCGACATCATTGTGCTTGTGGCGCATTCGGTCAGTCCGGACGAGACGGCAATGGACTTTGCGCAGGCGCTGGTCAACTACTTGTACCGCGCCGAGACCGGACTTGGTATTGATCTGTACGTGCTGCTGCTGGCACGGATGTGCGACATGTCTGCTCCGGTTGGCAAGGAGGTAAAGGCGTGGCTGGCGTTTGCAGACGACGAGCGCAAGCACAACGTTCCGGTTACCATCGCGCTGATCAACGAGGGGCTGGTGTCCGTTGAGGACGAGGACGACCAGCTGAGCAGGCTCGTGGACGCCAACCGCCCGGCGGCCATCGATTTTGCAGCGCGGCTCGTGCGCAAAGCGGTGCTCAACCAGGCGCTGCCGGCGACGCTGCGGTCGTTTGCAAAGACAATCCAACTGTTTGTCAAACTCGCGCAGAGCGGCAGGGCGCCACCTGTTGTCACGCAGCTGCTAGAGGATGTTCAGCAGCAGCAGCAACAGCAGCATCAGCAGATCGAGTCCAAAACGCCGGTGGCCACCCAGGCATCGGCATCCGCCTTATCCGCGCGCACAGAGTCAGTGCAACAGCAGCAACAAAATCAGCAACAGCAACAGCACCAACCACCTCTGCCTTCGGGCGGCCCAGCTGCAGTCCCACTGTCGGCAGCCTCCGCGCCCGCCTCCTCAGTGATGTCGCCGCGGGTGCAGGAGACGGCCAGCTACCAAAACATTCTGCTGAATGGACGCGCGTCTACGACCACCCGGCGGCTGGTGAAACCGAGTTGACAACGCTTGTGCGGCAGCTTCGCCAACAGGTGCCACTCCAGGACACCGGTGTGGCAGCGGCTTTCTTCCGCGCGTGCGTCGAGGCAGCAATTGCGTTTTATGACCAGGCGGCAACCACGGCCACGACCACAGCCACAGCTACGGGGTACCAGGTCGCCGACGCGCTGGTGCGGCTGGTTGTCTACTTGACCAAACTGGGCCCAGCAGACGCACAAACTGACGTGCTGCAGCCGATGCGCATGTTCCTGTCCAGCGTCACGCTGACGATTACACACTCGCATGCGACCACGCCGGAGCTGTTTGTCGTGCACCAGCGCGCATATTTCCGGCTGCTGTGTAGTGTGCTGTACGAGCTCAACGCGGCGGCACACGCCCAAGCGACATGGTGCTCGCCACAGGTGGTCAGCGACGTCATCGCGCTGTTCGGCGAGGCGCTGCTGCTTCTGGCGCCGGCGTCAGTGCCCGGATTCAACTTTGTGTGGCTGATGCTCGTGTCACACCGCTACTTCTTCCCGCGGCTCATGGCCGACAAGCAGTGCTGGGGGCTGGCGGCGGCGCTTTTCGAGGCCCAGCTGCGGTTCCTCGAGCCGTTTATCGCCAGCGGCCAGGTCGGCGAGTCGCTGAAGCTGTTGTACCGCGGCATGGTGTGCGTCGTGCTTGTCGTGTTGCACGACTTCCCCGAGTTTTTGGCCGATTACGCGCTAAGCCTGTGCGACGCCATCCCGGTCGGCTGCGTGCAGCTGCGTAATCTGCTGCTCAGCGCATACCCACGCGACATGCGGCTGCCCGAGCCGCTGACGCCGAACCTCAAGATCGACCTGCTGCCCGATGTCGCGCGCAGCCCGAACATCCCCTTCGACTATGTGCGCGCGCTGGACCACGGCAGCATTGGCACGGCCTGGAACGCTTCCTGGCATCGCAGAAGCCCGCCGACTTTGCCAAGACCGTCGTGGCCGCGGTGCTGGCGCGGACTGAAGCGGCTCCGGGCACCGACTCGTCGACCAAAGGCTACAGCGTTGCGCGTATCAACGCGTTTGTGCTTCACATGGTGGTGATGATTACGCGCATCAAGGAGGCTGCGGCACGCGACTCTGCACAGCGCGTGGCGCTGGAGCTGCTGCGCGCAGTTCTTGGCGACAGCGATGCTGAGGGTAGCTACTTGTTGGTCAGCGCCATTGCCAACCAGCTGCGCTTCCCGTCGGCCCACACGTACCTGTGCTCGCGCATGATCCTGGCACTGTTTTCAAAGTCCGACGAGCGTGTGCGCGAGTGTATTGCGCGCGTGCTGATCGAGCGTATTCTGGTCAACCGCCCGTTCCCGTGGGGGCTGCTGGTGACGCTGATTGAGCTGCTGCGCAACCCGTACTACGCCTTCTGGAGCCACGACTTTACGCGCCGCTCGCCACAGATCGTCGAGATTCTGTCTGCCGTTGCCAAGAGCATCCATCCGGCCGATGCGCGCACCACGCCGCAGTCGTCGCAGCCGCTGGCGTGAATTGAATTGGCAGTCTGGGCTGACTAGGGGCATGCCTATTCAATTTCAGTGTAGTTTCTTGATTTCCAATGTGTTGTTTTTAATTTATAAATGTATATTTATATGCATGTATACTCGCTATTGGAAGAAAAATAAACTGCTACCAAAGCAACGCGGCTACATGCCCAGCCGATACGCGGCTACGCCAGCAAAGGCCAGGCCAAGTCCTAGCAGGCCTCTGCGCCGCGCTGCAAACCGCAGCGGGTCCAGCTCTGAGCGAGCGTGAAGCGCGTATCCGGCCACACCGAGCAAGGCGCCGGCGCCGACTAGCCTGCACGAGAGACAGTCCTGGAACTCCGCGGCCTCCGGGGTTTGGCTGCCGGCCGATGCTTCTGTGGCAGTGTTGCTAGTATTGCTGCTGCTTCCATTGACATTGGCGCGATAACTCTGTTGTGGGGGGGGGACAGGTGAAAATAAATCAAGACAAAGGCGCGTAAATGAGATGTGTTGGCTCGGCCCCAGCCCGCGGCGAGATGTCTGATAGTTGTCGCGTCTCTGGCCACATGCACACAAAGTGGCCCATATATGGGTTGGCAGATATGGCCCCTCTCAGCAGAAAGAGTGAGTGAATGAGTGAGTGAGTGAGTGAGTGAGTGAGAAAGAAAGAAAGATAATGCACGCGTGTGTGCAAATGCCTTCCCGCAGTCAGGCATTACCGTTCTCCTGCTCCTCACTGCTGGCCAGCTTGATGTCCTCAAACACCTGAAGCGAATGGCACAAAAGTTCCTTGATGCTTTCAAACTCTGCAATCTGGCCAATAGCAACAGTGGTGTTAATGGCATCCTCAATGTCGGCGTGCACCCGACTGAGGTCGGGCACAAGCTGGGTCGCCTTATTTTTGCTTGCTACGGTCTGCACGACGACTTTGCGGTTGGCATCTGTTGCTGTCTTGAGGTCAAGCGAGATGTTGTTGTAAATGTTGAGCATTAGTGTTGCATATGCCAAAGTTGTCTTCTTTCCGTGATCGATAATGCGGGACTCGGGGGTAGAGAAAAACGAGCGGTCGAAAAAGCTTGCGCTGGTGGTGCTCACGACTGAACTCCGCCGCGACACGCTTCTGTGGACCGGTCCAGAGCCAGCAAACCCATTTGTGCCCACGCCCACACCCACGCCCATCATTGCCTGGCCGGCCCAGCCGCCGTACGCCAGACCTGGCATCGGGCTGCCTTGCAGCGCGTCGCCAACATCCGTGCTGTTGGTATTATCAGCGCTAAAGACCCTTGTTGGTCGGACCTCCTTGTCCCGAAAATCAGCCCTGTATGTACCCCTCGGAGCAGCATTGCGGTCACCCATGATGTGCTCTTCAAATTGCACAGCTAGTTCAAATGTGGTCGGAGTAGAGAAATTAGAAAGAGAAAAAAGAAAAGAGGATTATAAATGCAAAAATTTTAGAAAATAAAAAAGAGTGCATTCGTATACATACAGTGCGTGAGTTGGGGTTGGTGTTGATGTGGTAAAAGCTGCCCTCATATTTTATCGACGATGAATTGCTTCTTGGCTTCAGAACTCGCTAATTAAACATTTTTGTTTACACATTATTTGGCTTATTTTCGACAAGAGTCGCAGCGCAAGTTGTTTCGTGCTTTATCAAAGAGACTGGTGCTCTATCAGGGCATATTTCGCGCCAGCAGACAATATAAGACCAGCATTCGTATAGTGAAGCACGCACAGATGGCAGCAAGCAAGCGGCGTATCGAGGAGGTTGACAGTGGCAGCAACAGCGATGCGGAGGCATCGTCGGTTAAAAGGACAATGTCTGGCAAAGCCGTACCCACCAACAAAACGATGCCGACGGATTACAGCTTTTTAGCGGCAGCGCCTGCTGATTGCTACAAGGTGGTGACATACAACGTCAACTCGCTCTCAGCAGCGAGCAAAAAGGGGTTCAAGGAATATCTCGCGGCCGAGGATCCGGACATGATCTGTCTGCAGGAGACAAAGGCAAACCAGCCGCTAGCGTTTCTGGTGAGCAAGAAGGTGTTTCCATACCAGTACTGGAACTGCAGCAAAACTAAGAAGGGGTACTCGGGGACGGCGGTGTTCTCCAAGATCAAGCCGGCGCACGTCAAGTACGGGCTGGGCGATGGTGATTTCGACACTGAGGGGCGCACGATTACGCTGCAATTTGGGTCGTTCCACCTGGTGGCCTGCTATGTGCCCAATGCCGGCGAGAAGCTGGTTCGGCTGGACCGGCGGCTCAAATGGGATGCTGCCATGAGAGAGTATCTGGCAGTGCTCGAGGCAACTAAGCCGGTTGTCTATGCCGGCGACCTAAATGTTGCGCACCACCCGATTGACTTGGCGCGACCCGATACCAACAAGAGATCAGCTGGATTCACAATCGAGGAGCGCAACAGCTTCTCCGCCATCCTCCAAGGCAGCGATGCCCCGCGCGTCGACGCGTTCCGGCACTTGTACCCGGACGCGCGTGCCGAGGGGTACACGTACTTTGGCTACCGCGCCAACGCTCGTGCCAACGCTGTTGGCTGGCGTCTGGACTATTTTGTTGTCTCGCAGCCGCTGCTGTCCCGCGTCAGCGACGTCATCGTCCGCAACCAGTGCTACGGCGCGAGTGACCACGTCCCAGTTGTGTTGCTCTTGAAGAGGGCCGCCGGCGACGACGCCGGCGACGCGACAGCCGCTGAATCCGAAGGACAACCCCTAATCGAGTAACCAGCCCCTCTGTACATGCGCAGGTCGAGTGCTGAATCCAATAGTACTTTCACACGCACGTCACTGTGCTGCAATAAAAGCTTTGATGAAAGCAAATGCGTGCATTTACTTATCCTAATGTGGAAATTGCATCATACTGGCATTATTGTCATGAAAATCTTATTGGTTATCGCGGGAATAGCGCAAACCCCATATCCATATCCATCGACGCGTATGCGTGTGCGTGTGCGTATGCGTGCTTTCATACGCCTCTCCCGCACGTGCACTCGCTGGACTCACTGATAAGGATTGGGCGCGCTGGACTCGGGCAGCGCGTGCCCCCTCATTGGCTGCAATCCACACATTTGCTCTCCTACATCAGCGCCAACCGCCAACCGTCAACTGCCAAGCACGTGCTATTGGCCGAGCGCCATTCCGGAATGCGGATGATTTCAGTGACTTTGAGCAAGAATCCAAGATAAAACCAGCGCTTGCAGCAAAATCACCGTTTGCACGTTTGGGGTCGATGGCGCAACATCACTGCGCGAAGCTGCATTCTTTCCTTCACACATACAAACACTGCCTCGTATATTGCTCTATTATTAGACTGGGTCTTCCTTTTGCATATTCAACGTGTCATTTATTTTTCTCTTCCCCTTTCGCTCGCTCGCTCGCTCGCTTGTATTCAAACATCCACGACACACAGCGCATCACAACTCGAAATGCCTACCAGCTGCACTTCCCATGTCCTCGTCACCGGTGGCTCCGGCTTCATCGGCTCCCACACTGTCCTTGAGCTCATCAACCAGGGCCACAAGGTCGTAGTCGTCGACAACCTCAGCAACAGTTGTGAAGAGCCCCTGCGCCGCATCGAAAAACTCGCTGGATTGAACGAGGAGAGCCTGCCCTTCCACAATGTCGACCTGGCAAACATTGACGATCTGCGCGCTGTCTTCAAGCAGTACAACTTCTCCAGTGTCATCCACTTTGCTGCCCTCAAGGCTGTTGGCGAGTCGGTGCGCGTTCCGCTGGCCTACTACCGCAACAACATCACCGGCACCCTCAACCTGATGGACCTCATGATCGAGTTTGGCGTTAAAGACATTGTCTTTTCATCCTCGGCGACTGTGTACAAGTCTGATCCCGACGGCCGGCCGTTCCGCGAGGATAGTGAGCTTGGCTGCACCAGCCCCTATGGCCGCACCAAGCTCTACATGGAGAGCATCATTCGCGATGTTGTCGGTGCTGAATCTGGCTGGAATGCAATCATGCTGAGATACTTCAACCCTACTGGCGCGCATGAGTCCGGGACCATGGGCGAGGACCCCTGCCAGATTCCCAACAATCTGATGCCGTACGTTTCGCAGGTTGCCATTGGCAAGCTCGACAATGTGCACGTCTTTGGCAATGACTACAATACTCGTGACGGCACAGGTGTGCGGGACTACATCCATGTGATGGATCTGGCCGAGGCCCACGTTATTGCCCTCGAGAGGCTGACCGGGAACCACGGCTACGAGGTCTTTAATCTTGGCTCTGGCGCCGGCCAGTCGGTGCTGGAAATGATCGACGCCATGTCCATTGCCTGTGGCCACAAGATTCCCTATGTGGTTGACCCCCGCCGCTCCGGCGACATTGACACCATTGTCTGCGATCCTAAGAAGGCCAACGAGGTACTTGGTTTCAAGGTCTCCCGCGATCTCACAAAGATGTGCACCGACCTGTGGCGCTGGCAGGTTGCCAATCCTGAGGGCTACAACCAGTAAGATCTGTGCGAATCCAGCCTGTGATTCTTGTGCATGACAAGCGGCATGCGTGCGACAGGCAAATATATATTTTTATTTATTGTTTTCTAACCCTTCAAATTCTCGTAAGCACAGTCATGTGAAATGCCCATAGTCTAAATATGCGAACCTAATCAATTGGATGGTCTCTAATTTCTGGCCACAGTTTGCTTTAAATGCGGAAAATTAAAGTTGCAGACTTTAGTTTCACTCTTTGTTGAATGTGCACCTGCCGTCCTTATCCTTTTTATCTGTCTTTTAGCGGCATACTAACCACTGTCCCGACTATGATTGGCCCAAGCAACAACATTCCGCAGCACCAGCAGACGCAGACGCAGATGCAGTATCTGGTTGGCTCTGCTGGAGGAGAGGAGATTAAGCGCATGATGAGCCTAGGCAAGCCAAAGCAAGCAATCGCCGAGTTTGGCTCAGAGAACGGCCTCAATATACCAGCAGCAGGCGCAATATACAGACTTCTCGATTCGCTGGGCTATACCCGATGGAGCATCCACAAAGCTGCGCTTGAGTCAGCCCTTCTTGCTGCCCAGAGCCAGATTCAGGGTGCCGACCTCCCGCTGGATAAGCACATAGACCTTTTGAATCAAATTAAACCGTACCTTGGGTTTAAACGCCTGCAGCACCTCCCACTGCTTCTCCTGGCCAAGCAGCCCACCATGATCCCTGCTGACATCCGCGATATGATCACAAGCAATGCCGATCTCTATTCTGGCTGCAGCGTTGGGGTGAAGCAAGAGCTTTGGAGGCACGATAACGCGCTCTTCAGACAGCACATGCTGCCTCTGATTAGGACCTACGCCATTTGTGCAGATCTGGCCGAGATGTTGCGCGAAATAACAGGCCCTCACGTCAAGACATACACCAGGAAGCGCCGCGAACACCCGGCCTTCAAGGAAATTGCCCACGCAGTTGCCGGTGATTTGCAGCTGTACATGCTGTGCCTGGGGCTGGTTCGCGAGGAACTGCTGCGCACCAATGACCCTGCGCTGGGCACCCTGCGCCACGACCTCGTCATGGCCATGCACGAGAACAACGCATCAGAGATTGTCAGGGACGACATGTGTCACAATCTTGCGTGGACCCTGGATGCGTGCATACTCAAACAAGAATTGGATGCCGAGCGTGTCGTGGAACTGCAAAGGTGCTTTGATGCAATCGACAAGGACAGCGCGCCCTACGGCGAGATTGCCCTTATTTTCAGCAACCCCTACACCCGTCATGTTTTGGCGCAGTACATCCTGGCTCTCCTTGAGAAGATTGCCCCCAACTCGGAAGTCAGCGCGCTGTACTCTGAGCTTATCTGGCCGACGCTAGTGATGGCGATTGGGCTCAATGCGCTGGCTTTGATTTCAAGCGCCCAGGCCCAGTTCCCAAAGATTGACCGTAATATGAAGCGCGTGTTCTTTAACAGAATGATATTGTTTATAAAAATGTCGCAGAGCCGCGACCGCATCTTTCGGGCACGCAACCAGGGTGGTGGCACAAACAGACATGCTCTCCTGGACCAGCTGGGTGATTTTAGCCCAACTCCAGACACAGATCCAACCGAATCAATTGAGGCAATCGAGACGCAGCCAACAGACAATGATTTGGAAATATTAGCGAGTAATGAGCCCGCACGCCAGGTGCTCTATGTCTACCTACTCAAGCGCGTCGCAGCCTAGACCTGGGCATGCTCAACCAGTGGCTGCCTGTCATTGTAAACGCGCTGCCCAGATTCCTTGGTCTTTCCCAACAGGACATGAACCGTTCTTCCGAACCGAGCCTGCACCCTGCCAACACGCTTATGCCGCCTACTGTAGAGCTGGAAAGGCGGATGTTTGCATTCGAAATTGATGCTTTTGTTCAAAGCCTGGTCTCGCGCGCCAGGGATACCAAGGGTGTGGCCGCCGCCATTCTCAACAGTGTGGCTCAAGAGACTGGTTGCGGCGTCACAGCCGCGGATAGCGGTGTCGGAATGTTTACGACTCCCTTTGTGCGCTTCCTTGACCAGACTGCGCGTGTCCGCCACGTGTGCCACGAGCAGGCAATCGTGTTCTTGACGCACTGCGCAAATGTTTTGTCTGCCGAGTACAACGGCGGGTCCAAAGACGCTTCCATGTCGAATGGCATGTCTCCATTTGGACCGGGATCAGCGCTTGGGAACAAGGAGAACGCTGTATGCTTTATATTTGAGTTTGCAGAGCGCGCGGCAGCGCACTTTGCCGTTGACCCATTGTATAGCGGCAGCCTGAAGGAGCATTACCGAAGGCTGGCGGCTGCATGTCCAGAGCAGGCGTTCAAATACCGCATATCCCATGCCAACAGCCCCAACGTGTCAAAGTTTTTATCTAGCTAGCCCTTTTTATTTACAATTCAATGTTTGTTAATCCAGTGCAAATTTTGCGTATTTTGTTGCAGCCCAGAGTCCGATATACATTTTACGCCCCAGCCTGCTTCTATACCACAACAACCATTGCGATATTGTACAAATTTGATATGAGCAGTAGAAACTCCAGCTGACCATTTCTTATTGGATAGTTATAGGAATTTTGACAATATCTTTTTTCTGCGACATGGGGTTTTTAATATTTGCCGCCAAATCAGCTCTTCACATGCGGCAAATGGCCGCGAGAGATGACAGATGGGATTTAGCGAGTGGTGTAAAGTGATTATGGAATTAAGAGGCAAATTTGAAGTTGATCGTGCTTTGGTGCCAGTCATAACATGGTACTGGTCTAGCTCAATTGTCAAAAAAATCAATTTAGTCTATTATTATATCCTTCCTTTCCTTCTTAATAAGTAAATATTCTATAGTGCACATAGCAAGCATATTATTTATTTATTTTTATATTTTCATTCAAGATATTGATATATTGATATGGTTGTACACGTATGTAATATTTTTGAATTAAATTATTATTCAGGTTACCAAACTAGTGGTTATTTAATAATCGTTTGTGTGATAAGTGACGAGAAGTTATTTCGTAAACAGATGATATCGTATAAGAAAATGACAGGTTTTAAAATTATGCGCGTGTGAAAATGTTTGTGCGTCCGGCTCTACAACTACAACTACAACTACAACTACTATTACAATCTTTTAATTTATTTTTTACGTTAGTTGTTCACTGTTACCAAACTTTATTTCATGTTGGCAAATCAAAGCGTGTTTTTCCTGTTTCCCTTACTATCTTTGCCACAAATGTTTATACGGCTGTCTTTATTAGTACAGATCAGATCAATCGAGGCATCCTTTAAAACTGCAATTTTCTCGGCGAAAAGTGCCACCGATCTGCTCACAAATCTAAGCGTGACTGCTATTAGCACTTTCACAGTTGTCTGTGGATGAAAATGTATACCATTCCAACGACATTTTCCAACAGCACTACTGCGATCCTCAAACGGTTTTGCCTCTTAAAAAACGTTGCCGCTCGCTTGCATCTGGTGATGTGTACTATCTGTAACTACGGCCATTCCCGGCAGCATTGCGAATGTTTTTATTAGCCTAATCAACGTTACCTGTAAGGACACAGGACATGTGGCACCGCTGGGTGCGCAAGGGAGCTGCCACCGTTGCATATTGCCATTGCACAGCCAGTTTCCTTGTTGTGTAAACAACACCTACGCAAACATTCCCTAATTAATTCTGTAAAGATGTTTGCGCTAGTAATGACCATTTTGTGTGCGTGTGTGCTTTGGCTAGTGAATGGAGTGCCGAGCCCTGGTATCACGTCCTACACACAAATAAACATTTGCAATTGGCAACTGCCAGTGCAATCCGCACCCTTTAAATAGTCCATCTAGATCCTCCATCGCCGATAGATTCAACTACTTCCTAACCACAATCCCTTCGATCAACATACAAACCACCATCCACCCTGCTTTACCTATACCTTGAAAGTATCGTTCTCTCTATTCCTCTCTCCACCGGCCTACCCTTCTTTCAAATTTTACAACGCCTCACGCTCTCGCACTTCTCACCACTAGTCTCAATCGCGCTTTAGAGACTACGCATCTGTGTCAATATACTACTCACTTATCTTCCTCCTTACCAACAAAAAAGGCACGCTATTCAATATGAAGGTCACCAACTCCATTTACGCACTCGCATACGCTGCCGCAGCCATGGCTAGCGTCAACTACGCAGCCAGCTCTGCTCCGAACGTTCCTGCACCAGTGACTGGCATTTGGACCCGCGCCCCTCAGGTCCCCCCTGCCACGTGGACCATAGTCCAGCCCGTGTCAATCACCTATCTCCCCATTGTCATCAAGACTAGATACTTGCCGGTTCCTCCCACGCCGACGCCTGCAGCTGTGTTGTCCTCTACTGGTACTACCCCCAAACCCTGGATGCCCGCACCCGCACCCGTTCCTGCCTACATTGCCAGCTCGCCGCCTGGCCTCCCTGGTACCGCCGTTCCCGCCAACCCTGCAGCGCAGGTTGACCCCTCTTCAATTTCCTCACGGATTAAACCCGCTCCCACTCCCACTCCTACCCAGAGCTTCCGTGGGTACACCAGTAATAAGCGCGATATTGACCAGGGCACTGTTGGAAGCCTTGTCCAGGGCAATGGCGCCGTTGTGTTTGAAGCCAACGGTGAATCCTACATTCTTGTGCGCCTTCCTCAGGAAATCGCTGAAAAGGTTATCAAGACTAACGCTGTGCTCCAAAAGCGCACAACTGAAAAGGACATTATTTCCGACGCGACTACCAAAGATCTCGGCTCGAACTCGCTGCTCTACAGCCTTTTCGACACAATTGTCGCTCGCATCAGACTACCCGTCAACTCTGGAATTGGCATTTCTGAGCCCAAGGATGGTGACAGTAACCATGGCTTCCTGCGCCGCGAGATCTTGGATGTTGGCCAAGTTGTTGCCAGTGTCGCCCTGCCTGTGAATGCCAATGGTAGTGTTGAGTCCAGCGATGATGTCGACAGCATTCTTGCGCAATTGCTCGGCGATATCAACTTTGCCGCAGAGGCATCGCCCACCATTGTTGCGAATATCGATGGTTCTGATGAGTCTAATGCTAGTGGGCTTATGCGCCGCAACCTCATTGACAGACTTCTCGGTGTTCTCCATCTCAGCGCTGTTGTGCCTTTGAACGTCAACGGCGAGCTTAATGCCGACGAGGATGGTGACGGTCTCCTTGAGCAGCTGCTTGGCGACATTAGCCTGGCTATTACTGCGTCCCCACCGTCAACATTAAACTTGGCGACTCTGACGAATCCGGCAGCGGTGGCCTTTTCCGTCGTAATCTTTTGGACGACACGCTCGGCGTGCTCCGCATCAATGCTAATGCACCTGTAGCATCGACGCCATTGTTGATTCCAACGAGAATGGCGACGGTGTTGTTGAGAACTGCTCGGTGACATCAGCTTGGCCATTGCCGCGACTCCCACAGCCAGCATTCAGCTTGGTGGCTCCGGCGAATCCGGCAGCGGTGGCCTTTTCCGTCGTAATCTTTTGGACGACACGCTCGGCGTGCTCCGCATCAATGCTAATGCACCTGTAAGCATCGATGCCATTGTTGATTCCAACGAGAATGGCGACGGTGTTGTTGAGAACCTGCTCGGTGACATCAGCTTGGCCATTGCAGCGACGCCCACTGCCAGTATTCAGCTTGGCGGCTCTGAAGAAAGTGGTAGCAATGGACTTTTGCGCCGCGACATCCTTGCCGATCTGGGCAATGTTATTGCCAGTGTTGTTTTGCCCCTGAATGTTAACGCCAACATCAAGCCGAACAAGAACGGCGATGGTGTTCTTCCGAACCTGCTCGGTGAAGTCAGTCTGTCTATTGAGGCGTCACCCACCGTTGTCGCGCGTATCAACAGCCCCGAGCCAACCCAAGTAGACGAGCTTTACCGCCGTGACATCAATGGTCTTCTCAGAGGTATCTTTGCCAGCATTGCTGCGCCTCTGAATATCAACGCCAACATCAAGCCGAACAAGAACGGCGATGGTGTTCTTCCGAACCTGCTCGGCGAAGTCAGCCTGTCTATTAACGCGTCGCCCACCATTGTCGTTGATACTAATGGCTCCTCCGCGTATGGCGATTACGATGATATCAACCTCTTCTAAAGCGCATCGGTACTTTTGGATATACACATCGCATAAGTCGTTCAATTTTTCTGTTTTTTAGCTGACAATATCATTTTATCATACAAATTTGTGTTTTCGAAACAAACCGCCTAACAGGAAGAATCGGCTTGTTCTGTTTGAGCGTGCTTGCTATTCTCGATTACTCTGTCTACGTATGCAAGCACCCACGCACGCCAAAAAATCCTGTTGTAGTTGTTGGATATCCCCATGCGTGGCTTAAAATCATATTTCTTAGCTTTTGCTTTGTCTTTCTCTCTCACTTTAATTTAATTTTTGCTCCTTTTTTCGCGTTCACCGCATTCTTGTCAATTTTCACACTGCGCATCCAAGGCTGCGGCAACGAAAAAATAAAAAGAAACCCTCGGGATTTTACACATTGCGCGTAACTGGCAATGAACGACAGTGTCACATTCTTCATAGCGCTGGGACTTGTTTTTTTGGTGCTCCGCTGGCTGCTAGGTAAGAAATTGCCAGCTATTGAATTCATAACAAGAACTGTGTTGCCATTTTTCTACTTTTGCTTTTGCTTCTGCTTGGGTAGCTAGACGTGGCATTTGTACTGTCTTTTTTGCAAGAGTTACGCGCGCTTTGCGCTTAATTATACTTGGACGCTAATAACACTAGCTCTTTGGAATACCGCGCTTGAGATGTAGGCCAGGGGCCACGAGCAGGCGCAGGGCGGCAGTGCCAGGATGCAGAGGCGCTTGCACGTTGTGCGCCAGGAGCACTTGCAGACGATTCAGGCAATGTTCCCAGACATACCGGAGCGGCCATCCGCGCGGATTTGGCTCGGACAGGGTCACCAGTCGTCACCAGCGATAACATTCTGCGCAATGGTGGGACTCTGCCTCTACCAGCAGCAACCCCTGCCGAGCAGCAGGCCGAGGCACTAGGCGGCGCAGCAACCAATGCAAATGTATTTACCAGAGGGCAACAGGCGGGTGTAATCGCGGCGGCGGGCAGCAGCAGCACCATCTCATCGACTGGGGGTGTTGTCTTGAACGCCGCTCAATCGCCGCTTGTAAACAGGCTGCAAGTCTCGAAGGACGCTGGCGCAGATCCCCTTGCGCCGGCACCACCAAAGTTTGGGAATCCGACTCTGACAAGAGGTCTGATATTCTGCGCAAGCGCAAAGAGTTTATGCTGATGGAAGCGCGGAAAAAGTATTTGGAGAAGCAAAAGCAGAGTCAGAGCCCTGTTTCGGGTTTGGACTCAGTGTCGGTTCCAAATCGAGCGACAGCAGCAGAGGCAGAGGCAGAAACGACAATAACAGCAACACCATACCAGCCTGGAACTGCCAGCGGCAGCGGCAGCCCGCTGGACAAACAAAGAGCCGCCAGCACAGCACCAGGCGAAAAGGACACCTCACTATAGACGAGCCCCCAAGATCCAGCAGTTTGTTTATGGGTTTAGGGGGTCTCTTTCGTTTCATCGCATTTCTTTGTGCTCCAAAGCCCGCCAAAAATACAATGAAGGGAATATAATATTCTCAACAGACAACAGAAAAATTACGCTTTTCTTTTCTTTTTTCTTTATTTTTGTTTGGAATTACTATTATTATTATTCAAATTTTTGGTCATCTTTTTTACTTTTCCTGTTTTCTTTAACGCAAGGAATTGACAGGGCTCACCGTCGCGCACAAAACTATTTCAACCTTTGTCTCACACCCAACGAAGACCAACATGGCATCCAAGCTAGCTGCCGAGTGCCTTTTTTGCAAAATTATCAGAAGCGAAATCCCATCGTTCAAAATCCACGAGACCGCCCACAGCTTTGCCTTCCTCGACATCGGACCTTTGTCCGAGGGACATGCACTGGTAATCCCAAAGTACCATGCTGAGAAGATGCACGAGCTCCCCGATGAGTTTTTGGCTGATGCAATGCCTGTGGCAAAGAAGATCGCTGTGGCTCTTGGTGCAGACAACTAAACATTCTACAGAACAACGGCAGGCTGGCGCACCAGGAGGTCCCCCATGTTCACTTCCACATCATCCCAAAGCCCAATGAGGAGGAGGGCCTGGCCATCGGCTGGCCTACCAAGAAAGCCGACTTTGAAAGGCTGAAGGAACTCGCGGGTAGCCTGAAACTTAAGGACATCAAAAACGTGGTGTAGCCTTTTGCGAGCGACAGCAGCGCCGATATTTAATAAATATGATTTCACATCTTTCCCCGCATCTGTGCTGTCGCAGTATTTCGATGTAATTAAAACTGTGTAAATGTAAACGCCTAGATATTGGCCGCGCTCTAGCATGCGGACGAGCCGCCCTTGGCGCAGCACTTTCGTTGCTTCTTCCAGAACCACCATGGCGCGGCAGATGACTGTCGCCGTCGCTGCTGCCGTTGCAAGTATGCTGTTAGATGCGCCGGGTTTGACCTTTGTCCCTGCTGCCACAGCGCTCTTGTGTGTCCCATGACTGTGACGCTCAGGCCTACGGTTGCGTTCCCAACGACTAGAATCGCAATGCTCTTCCAAATTGCGACAAAGTCGACAGGAGCGAGAGCCTGAGTGGCCAGCGTCACATCGTGACCGCATAGGGCCAGACGGCGGCGACGCCGACAATCTTCTTTCCCACCGCCCTTCTGCTGTCGAAGACCGGCGCTCCTGCTTTGCATTCGCAGCACCCGATTGTTTTCTCAATAGCCTATTCAGCGACTCGATAGCTAAAGACAATGAATCGGCGTCGGCACCCTCACCTTCGCCGGCGCAATGGTGTATTTCGATTAGCTTGCTAATATCCGATTTTGCTCTTGAAAACCGCTCCAAGCGAATGTACCTAAGAAATTTTGCAGTCGATCAGATAAAAGACAAAATTGTTAAAGCGGGTGTTTGTCAAGCTGATTGGATCCTCAGCTAACCAAAATAATGCACTTACAGGTTTGCCCTGTGTTGGAGGGCGGTCACACATTGCGGGTCGAGCGCGAGTGCATGATCCAGCATTCCCAGAACCTCGCTCTGGTTGTGCTTGTCAATCTTGCTTGGCGCGCTCTGGGCTATGCTCTGGGCCCGCTCGTTATTCTGAAGTCCCCGCAGAGTCGTGAAATCGCACGCGTTATCCACGTAGGCACCGTTACTGTCATATCTTGGATATGTGCCAGTCCCGTGAGACATGCCAAACAGCTTCTCCGCTTCGCTCACAATGTCCGGACAGTGTGTTTGGGCGTCACCATTATCTCGTCGTTGCATCCAGTATGTGCGCCAGCTTCCGGACCCTGTGCGCGGCAGGGGAAAAAGTGTGTGGCTGTCCGCCGACATTATTAATAATTTAGTGTATTTTAAAGTTCCAAATTCAAGCTCGAGCAGAACAAATGCACATGGCAAGGCAAAAGTAAAAAAATTGAAGAAAGAAAGAAAGAAAAAAGAGCATTTGAATGCGAATGGACATGCACAATTTGAATTTCAAAAATTGAGCGTTTCCATGGTGGATTTATTTGCCATGTGATAAAAACCATAGACTGGTTAAATATGGCCGTTGACAAAACCCACGATTCGCTCTCCTCGAATTTTCAGCGACTAAAAATTTTTGCGAGCACTTAGAACAACTTTTAGCAATCACATCTTTTTTACATCAAATATTATTGGAATTTGCACACCCATCACTTGTTGTTTTTCATACCACGCGCGGATATCAGCAACTACATCTAAGATACAGAATCGACATGCCCCCGTATAATCCGCCTCCTTGGAGAGCTATGACAGCACCCAAGGAGATACGACGCCATTTGCTAGCAACAGGAGGCGTCAACAGGATAGTTATCGGCACCCGAGAGGGCCTCCGCCGTTTCCACCGGGCATACTGGCGACGCCTTTGCCTATAATTAACCCATTCGGGCCTCCAGCGCCGCAAAAGTTAGAGTCTGACAATCGGAACCCGGCTGCGTTGGAGCCAACAACGCGCTCTCGCTTTGAGGCGCAGCAGCTTGTTATTGCATACATCGGTGGGATTAGTAGCATCGTTGATGACGAGTGGGTGGAGAAAGTTCTGCGGGCGTGCGGGCGTGTCAAGAGCTGGAGGCGCGCGCGCGACGCCGATGAGCAGCCGCTATCTTTTGGGTTCTGTGAGTTTGAAAGCATGAAAGATGCCGCATGCGCCCTGCGCGTTCTATCCAGTGACGGTGGACTCAAGAAGGGAGGCTGGGTGCTTCCTAGTGCGACCGTGGCTGGCAAGCCTGAGTTGCTGTCGATCAAGATTGACAACCGAATGCTTGTGGACCTGAGATCACACGCCGCCCTGACTGATGGCCAGGAGCAGCGACGAAAGAAAACGAATCTGCTGCAATGCAACTAGTAGCTACTGCGATTAGCGAACTTGAGGCGGGCAGCGAAGGGGGGTCGGCAGATACGCTGCTTGTAACAATGCGCAGACACACCCGCGTATGGGGGTTGGGTCGGCTGACGAGGCTCATTCAACGCTCAAGCCTAGAAAAACTAGCGAGCCTGAGTCTAGTGCAAATTTCAGTAGTGGCAGCGGAAGTGTTGGCGAAGCAACCGCGTCTGACAACCAGCAGCCATTTTTGCTGGAGCTTGAGGAGGCGTGGGAGAGAGAGCAGGTTAGACAGCATCGCGACCAGCGCTACATTGTGGCTGCCACAGAGCGTGAGCACAAGTTGGGTGGCGAGCAAGTGGACCGCGAGGGCCGGATAGAGCGCAATGCTTTGCGCGAGCTGGACCGCATTGATGATAGGCAGCGCGCTAGGGACGCAATGTCGGCGCTGCTGCCAAAGTGGGATGACAGTTACGAGGAGAGTATGCGCGACCACGACTACTATAGGGACCATGAGAGATGGTGGCATCATCGCAAGACGGTGCGTACAAAGGAGCTTAGCTTTGACGAAGATGATCGGCGTAGACAGGAAAAGGAACAGCAAGATCGGGAGCAGGAGCAGGACAAGCCTAGAAAGTATCGTCGTACATCTGAGGAAGAAAATGTTTGCTTGCAAAGCCTCGAAGCAGCAAGTACTAGCCCAGACATTGACATGCCTACTTTAAATTTGGCCAATGATAATGTGTTGCAGACCAGTGTTCAATCGTCAGAGGCACCCGAGACTCTGCTGCACGGCGTCCCTATGAGCCGAAATGTATTGTTTGAGTGGCCAGTCAAATGGGAGCTTGTGGACGATACATTGATACAAGTCACAATAGCGCCTGCCGTTCGGAAGCAGCTTTCAAATTATCTTGGTGCCGAGACAGATGACGGGTCTGTCGACGAGTTGGCAGACTTTGTGATCGCCCATATCGCCGAGCACAAACCCCCGGCCAGTCTTGCCGAGGAGCTAGAGATGGTCCTTGTCGATGACTCTGCTGTATTTGTCACTCAGTTGTGGCGCCTTCTGGTATCCGAGACTGAATCTCGCACATAAACGGCAGAATACTGTACGGTGTCAGTCTTTATCTTGGTACATTCTACAATACTTGTAATCTGTAGATTGATTTTCATTTTTGTGTTTTGGAAATTGAATACTTTTCGATAGAGATGAACCTAACTATGATATTAATGTGCTATGGTTAACTCAAGTCATGGCACCAGTGTGCGTATCATTGAACATGTCTGAAATAGAGCCCATGACGAGCAAAGTGGCACAGTAGACATTCAGTATCAGTCACCAACTTCAGTTTTTGTCTTCTACTTGTTTTATATCTCACTTAATAGATCTATTTTTTTCTTTAGGTATCGCACAAACTGCTAATGATTATCCTAACATCCAAGCTCTAGAAGGTGCTTGTTGACATACTGACCAACATGAACATGTGCCTCTAGCCAGACAAGAGGGCGACGGACTTGGACATGGTACTGCAGTGGCAGGCAGAGCTGCGGGTTGCAACCAAAAAGCTGCTGGATCTCCTGCTGTTGGATGTGACAGAGGAATGTGATGGTATGTGACCATGTCTATTAAGCCTCTTGCTGTAATGATTGGCGATTCTACTGCAGATAGTCGACCTGGTAATGCAGCTATGCCAGAATAGGGAGATCGAGGTGGTTACAGCAAATGGTGCACCAATGCCTTTTATGCAGCAATATAAGTTGGTACAGGGTGGTGTGCTGTCCCCACTATTGTGGATAGAGTGCCTATGACCCACTCCTTACCCGGGTTTACCAAGAGTGCATATTGTACCCAGAGTGTAATGCGAATTTGGCTAGTTATAATATATATTAATTAAGATGAGACTACAAAAAAGCTAAGAGCTCACTATTCAGAATTCACTGTATGCGTAAAATATCAACATATTTCACATGTCTGCGCTATCACGTGACTCGACTCCCATTTCTGGTGTCACACAGAGAAGCTGGGAATTGAAGCAGTCAGGATTTTGGCAGTCCCATATGCTGATGACCTGACACTGATGGGTGGCTTCCATGTAGAGCTCCAAGAGACAATGAACCTGACTATGACATGGTTTGATATGGTTGGTGTAATAAAAACTTATTCATACTAACTAATTTTTATTAAAAATCCACTATAAGGGAGCTTAAAGAGCTCCGCTTATCTATTCCAAACTATCGCCTGTGAAAATAGAAATCGCGATCGTAAACAATCACAATTTCAAACAATCGCAATTTCCCAATTGCGATTGTCACATGACATCGCAATAATTGATGTCACAGTTGGTGTGAACGTCAACTAGTCTAAAATCAAACTCATCGAGTGGCCATAGTTGTAACATCAATTATTACAATATCACGTGACATATGCAGTTGTTTTGAAATTGTGATTGTTTTGAATTGATAAGCAATGCTTTTAAGCTCCTGTATAGTGGATTTTTGATAGAAATATATTTAATAGTGATAAGTCTTATTACACTAGGCCTCCAAGCTCACAAATTGTAATGAAGACTTGTGCTGGTTATAATAAATATGAATCTGAATGTGTGAAAAACGAGCAAAGCTGAGCAAAGAGAAGGTTTGCAAGTTATATTTAAAAGGAAGAAAAAGATAAAGTTCTAAGCTAAAGAAAGAAAGTGAAGAGACTGAGGAAAGCTGTCTCTTATATAGGAGACAGCGAGTGAAGATAAGAAAGGTAAATAAAAGAGAAGGATACTTGCTGAGATAGTGCAGCATGAGGAAGTTGCAGAGTAGACTTGTAGTACTTGTTGGCATCAGTCACAGCACCAGTGCGTGTATTGTTGATAGTGCCCTCATTGTCACAGAAGATGGTGGCAGGGTCAACATGTACATGGATGTCACACAGCAGGTCTTGTAGCCACATGAGCTCACGGACAGCAGAGGTCAGGGCAATGGTCTCAGCTTCAACTGTGGATTGAGGTGGCAAGCCAAGAGCACGTTTCTTTGACTTCCAAGCAACTGCTCCTCCTGCCAGAGTGAATACATAGCCAATTACCATGGCTTCCACAGTACACAGTCCAAATGAAGCATCACTGTACCCAACTAGGTTGAGGTGTTCAGACCGACGATAGTGAATGGCCATGTTGCAGGTGGTCTTCAGATACTTGAGTACTCGCTTGGCAGCACCCATGTGTTTCATCAGTGGTTTTTGGTTGAATGATGCAAGCACAGAGGTGACCAGAGCAATGTCAGGCCGAGTGACCATGGCCAGGTACTGCAGGGAGCCAACAATTGAGCGGTATTCAGTGGCATTGCACTTGGCAAGGTGTGGGGCAGTCTCTCCAAGCTTGGCAGAAGCAGAAATGGGCAGATCAACATTATTGGCTTCCTCAAGGCCATACTTGCTGACTAGGTTCTGGATGGCAGCAACCTGGTTGATCTTGATGCCATTAGACATGTGATGCACATTGATGCTCAGGATTGTGCTGCACATACTCAGATCCTTCATTGAGAACTCAGCAGACAGGGCAGTTTTGACCTTGGCCAGGATGTTGTCATCAGATGCAGCCAGCAGCAAGTCGTCAACATAGGTCGTCAAAATGCATGTTGCAGAGCCACTCTTAAGCCAGTAGACACCTGGGTCGGCATTGCTGCACTGGAATCCAAGGCTGCCACAAAGGAAAGTATTCAGGCGACGATTCCAAGTGCGTGGTGCCTGCTTCAAACCATATAGGGAGCAGCGTAGCTTGAGAACACTCTTGGTCCGGTCACCAGTCATGCCATCAGGAATCTCGACATATATGTCTTCTTCCAGGTCACCATGCAGGAAGGCAGTCTTGACGTCCATGGAGTGCAGCAGCCAGCCATGATAGGCTGCAAGTGCTATGACTATATGAATAGACTTGTAGGTTACCACAGGTGCAAACACATCATAGTAATCAATCCCAGGGTGCTGCTCAAAGCCTCTGACTACCAGGCGGCCCTTGTACAATGGTGGCTTGTCATCTGAGCCTTGCTTGACAACAAATACCCAGTGTGTGCTCAGAGGGCAGATTGAGGATGAGCGTGGGACAAGCTCAAACACCTCATTCTCAGCAATATATGCCAACTCGCTTTTGATTGCAGCCTTCCACAAGGGTGCCTCCTCTGAGCGCATGGCCTGGATGTAGGATGTGGGGCCTGATACAGCCACACCGCAGAAAAGGGCACCATTGCTCTGTACCAGAGCATCTTGGTCGTCATCATAGCTGTTGCTGTTATAGTCATAGTCGACATCATGGTTGAGCATGCTGGTGCTGTCGGCCTGCACTCTGTCATCCACTTGCCACCAGTCTGTTGTAGGCTGGCTGTTTCTGGTGGTGAGAGTGCCTTGCTCATGAGCAGCAATGTCAGTGATTCGTGCTGAGGCTGCTGAGGCTGCTGAGCGACGGCTGAGCATGGGTGTTACTGGGTCAGTAGCTCTGGCAGCAGTAGACGATAGCCTCAAGGGAGATGGGTTGGTTGGCTGGTGTCTGTGGATGTTGACACTGGTGCTGGTAGTGTCTTGAGAACTGCGACTTGACAGAGATGATGGATGCCCAGAAAAGGACTCTCTGCCTAGTGGCTCAGTGGTTGGTGTACTGTTTCTGCTGTTGCTGTTCCTGTACTTGTGGCTGTGGCTGAAGAATGGCGAACTGGAGTGTGCTGGGGTGTCGAGCTAGGACTGTGCTCCTCATGGGCAGTGACAAATGAGGCATCAGTAAACTCAGACTCACTGTTGCTGTCGTTGCTGCCACATATGATAGACTGTATTATTCTGCTGTTTCTCTGACGCCTCTCCTGAACATGCCTCCACTTGTCCTCCTCTTGCAGCTGTGCCAGATGCAGGTCGTCATCTTCATCAAACAGATCTGCTATGTGTATGGGGCCATGCTGTGTGGGCATGTCAGTCATGTCTGACTCATGGAAGTAGAATGGTACAGAGGGTGCACTTTCATTGTAGAATGGAAATTCTGCATCCACAAACTTGGCTCTTGAGGTGTGTAGAACATGGCCAGTGTCTATGCAATACAGCAGTGCCTTGCCATCCTTGGTTCCCAGGTACACACACTTCTGGGCATGCTCGCCAAACTTAGAACGCAGCTCAGGAGGGTACTCACTCCAGACCAGACAGCCAAATGGATGGATGTTGGCAATGTTGCTGGCACTGTCCAGCTTCTCAAAAGGTGTGCTCATGCCAAGAGCATGCTTGGGCAGACAGTTGAGCACCCAGTTAGCATGCACAATGGCAAAAGCCCATAGACAAAGAGGGACGCCAGACTGCAGCAGCATGGCATTGGCCATCTCTACCAGGGTGCGATTGTATTGTTCAGCTACACCATTCTGCTGGGGTGTGTGGGGGGAGCTGGTAACCTGGCAGATGCCATTGGCCTCACAGAATGCCTTCATATCTCCGTTGATGTATTCACCACCATTGTCAGAATGCAATGTCTTGACCTTGGCATCCAGCTGGCGCTCCATCTTGGCCACATACAGCTTGAATCTGTCAGTGACTTCTGATTTGCGCCCCATGAGATACACAAGCACACTGCGGGAGTAGTCATCTATGAAGGTGACAAAGTACTTGCTGCGCTCAGCAGATGGATGAGTCACAACACCAACATCAGAGTAAGCCACTTCAAGAGGTGCCTTGGCTCGTGGCAGGTGGCCATTGTGTGGCTTCTCAGCTGGCTTGGCAACAGAGCACACTTCACAGTGCTTGTCTACAGATCCCACCAGTTCCAGACCAAGAGTATCGGCTGCATGCTTGATGTAGGGTGCAGATGCATGCCCAAACCGCACATGAGCATCCAGGGCAGAGATAGACTTTCTTGACAGCTTGCTTGTTGGCAGCACAGTGGCAGAAGATGGGATGCTTGCAGCTGAGACCAGCTTTGGGGCTCTGGCCAGTCGATGCTTGTCATAGCAGGTGTCAGGGACTATGTAGTAAAGACCATCTTCAAAGTCTGCTGCCATGATTGCTTCACCATCCTTGTACACAAATGCACGATTTTCGGAAAAGAGCACATCCAGCCCATGCTGCAAGATGTTGCTGACTGACAGCATGTTCATCACTGACTTGGGCACATGGTGAACATTGCATACTACAAAGTTGCTGTCACTGTCACCAACACTGACTTGGCCAATACCACAGATCTTGGCAACTGCACCAGACATGCCCAT